TACAGTACACACACACACACACGCACATTTGTATAAATTATATATATATATATACAGTATATATATAATTTTAATTCAGTAATTACATATAAGAACACAGTATACTGTATATAACTTCTATGTATGCGTATGCTTATTGGTTCCTTTATTATTTTTCACTTGAACACATCATATTGTCATTATGACATTAGTGCTCAGTGTGCCGCAAGAGAAATGTCTGGTTACATAAGACTACCTTTGCACTGACTGCTTTTTTTTCTTTAGCTCCATAAAGACCATACAGACTCGACAGCCGGCAATCTTCTCTTCTATATTGCATAGGTCGCCAGGTGAGGAGTTTAAATCCCAGTGGGATCATGGGATTGATATCAGCTGTGCTCTACGCTCCGGCCTGGTGGGGGAGGTGCTAAGGATACGATCTAAACATTGGCAAGACCATGTGCCACACCGTGACCTGAATCAAATCCCAGGAAGCCCGCAGATTGCACCATCCCATCCCATCTGACCAGCTCGGCCTCTCAGACACTCATATTGTGTCATGACACCTGGAGGAACTACAGGACGTCTCAATGCCTGCAGTCACTTCCTGCCTGATGCTAAATCTGGCCTATGTAGGTAAACAGATTGTAGCCCAAAAATGGGCTAAAGAAAGGACGGAGTGGGTCATTTTTAATGACTGTCATTACCTGACAACCAAAATTTTTATGCAGCTGAACATGTTGGGATAAGATGCGAATGTGGTCAGAGCTCTCGATGTCTGCAACTCAAACTGAATTATTTAATTACCTAAAATTGCTAGCATGGTGGTCACATGCTGCAGAGAAAAGTACATTGGGTGTCTTTGTAATGCTAGTCGTTTTAGTCGTTCAATCAGTGCTTTCTGTTTCTCTTTCCTGTAGGAATGAAAAATCACATTTTTTGCAACAGTTTTTGTTCTCTTCACACGTCCTCTCGTCCACTTTCAGAAGAGAACAACATCACAAACAGCTCAGATTTGCAAAGTCTGCAAAAGAATGTCAGAGGTTTGAATATGAACTCAAACATCTTTTCATGAAATTCTCCCAAGGCCAGATCATCTATCCATTTTAATTTTATTGCTCTATACTCAGTGTTTCTGCAAGCTTTATGAAAGTAAAATTAAAAGTAAAATGTAAGACCTTTTAAGACCAATTAAATAAAATGTAAAGTAAATTATTAACGAAAATGTAAGGGTGTTCTCTAAGGAGAACACAATAAGTTGTATTAGCAGTACTTCAAAGTTTGAAAATGCTTCCAAACTGATGTTTCTTTTTAATTTGACAAAAAAGCTTAACTAGAATATAGAAATTGTTTAAGTGATGTTTCTTCTCATGTTTGACATTTCATGTTTCCCAGAGAAATGTCAAAAAAGTCTTAAATCAAGATTGTAAAAATGACAAATGATAAGAAGTCTTGTTTTCTGATAAATTTATCAAAATGAAGTGAATTTATGATTTTTAAAAAAAGTTAAAATATAAACATATAAACCCCCTGAGATGGTCTCAGTCTGTTTATTTCTTCTTCAGAACAGAGTAACTATCATCTACAAGTAAGTTCAGAGGATCAGAGACGAGAACCACAACCAACTCATTACCTCCAAGTGCCCATTAGCGTTTGCAAAACCATTTAACCATCCTGTCATTTCTGAGACAACAGCGTAATCTGCACTAAGAACTGAATTTGAGTGTGAAATAATCTGACTTTCCATATGAGTGAACAACAACCAAACTATCATAAATCCACAGTAAAGCCTAATGTGAAACTGCACTCATCTGCTCCAGGACTGGCAGTTAACCAGAGGAAACCTTGCTAGGTAGAAGACAAGAAAAGCAAATTCACTGTGTCATCAGGGCATCCTCAGAGGGCTGGCAGCCATTCTGGCAGCGTTGTGATGCACCAAAGGTGTCAAAGTCGAGGAGAGAAAGATGCTATCTGACAGCTCACTGCTCATGGAGTAGTGTGAGCAAAAACTCTTTGGGTATTTGAGCTATTCGTGCGTGAAGTTTCTTTTCTGTAGTGTTTCAGATGAGGCCAGTTGGTGTGTGTCAGCTGTGATAATAGACCACAGGCTAACTGTATAAATTTAGTCAAGTAGGACATGCTCCTGCATTCACATCCTAGTCGGTCCTGGAACAACATTCCTGTCATTGACTTCTTAGTTTTTTTTACACATTTAGCAGTATAAAATACATATTTATGCTCATAACCGTATATTCCACTTTTAGCTTTGTTGTCTGTCTGTGAAATGATCTCATGCTCACCAAGGCTGCATTTATTTGATAAAAAATACAGTAAAAACAGTAATATTCTGAAAAATTATTATAATTTAAAATAACCATTTTCTATTTCAATATATATTTTTAGCAAATTTTTTTTTAGTAATGGCAAAGCTAAATTTTCAGCATCATTACTCCAGTTTTCATTGTCACGTGATCCTTCGGAAATCAGTCTAATATGTTGATTTGGTGTTCAAGAAATATTGATTTATTATTAATATATTATTATTAATTTATCATTATATCCAAATTGCCGTTTGAATGCAGCTTCAAAGGGCTCTACACGATCCCAGATGAGGAATAAGGGTCTTGTCTAGCGAAACGATCGGTCATTTTCTAAGAAAAATTAACATTTATATACAGTACTTTTTAACCACATATGCTTGTCTTGCGCTAGCTCGACCTCACGCATTACGTAATCACGCAAGCATGACGTAGGCGGAAGTACCCAGTGTTTAAAAAGTGAACGTGCACAGAAATTCAAACTCTGGCACTGCAAGACTTATTATTGCAATAATTGTTTGATAGAAATGTTACTCCAGGTACTCAACAAGCTTGCGTGAATCACAATAATGCAGACAACATCAGCAAGAGGCCAACGGTTTGTGTCCTATCCAATATACAGTATCCAAAAGCAGAAGTACATCTTGCACTATGTGTATGTGTGTGTAGCAGTATAGGGTTAGACTGACCGTAATAGCAGGAGCTGCGAAAGTGAGGCTGAGGAGCATGAGGAAGGGGATGACCTCATGTGTGGGTTCGATATAAGGCAGACTCAGACTGCGGTCGTGACAGCTGAAACCCCAGCGGACCGGTTTGAAAATGTCCGTCCACTCCAGAAAATACACACTGACCATAGATGAGACCAGGAGAGGAAGCTGTTAGAGAGGAGAAAACATCACATAACTCTTCAACAAACATGTTCAAAGAATTACACTGTCCACATAACGGGTCCCTATGGAAATGAACATACAGTCAGCCAGCCATTATCGCAATATACACCCAGACAGTAGTACTGAGAAGATAAATAAAATCCTAGGTATATGAAAGCCATATAATGAGTTTGTAAGGTGATATCTGTAGGCCTGTGAGCTAGTAGTACAAATTTAGATGGATTCACAGAATTACTGAAAAGCTATAGATGGACTCACACTAACATTAAAGAGAATATATGTGACACTGGACCACAAAACCAGTCTTAAGTCGCTGGGGTATATTTGTAGCAATAGTCAAAAATACATTGTATGGGTCAAAATTATTGATTGTTCTTTTATGCCAAAAATCATTAGGACATTAAGTAAAGATCATGTTCCATGAAGATATTTAGCAAAATTCCTACCGTAAATATATCAAAACTTAATTTTTGATTAGTAATATGCATTGCTAAGAACTTCATTTGGACAACTTTAAAGGCGATTTTCTCAATATTTTGACTTTTTTGCACCCTCAGATTCCACATTTTCAAATAGTTGTATCTCTGCCAAATATTGTCCTATCCTAACAAACCATACATCAATGGAAAGATTATAAGTAGTGGTATATTGATGGTATCAGATGGTAATACACTTAAAAAAAGTGATGTAGAAACAATTTTCACTCAGAAATTGTTAGTAAACTTCACAAATAATTCCAAAGAATCAGCAAGTAACACACTGAATTAAATGTGAAATTTTGAAGTAGAACAATTAAAATACTATTTTGTAAAACCTACTTTTATTTACAACTTTTTACAGTGTATATGTGGAATATTGAAGGTCATTTGATTGTCCAGTTTTATTTTAAAACAAGTGGATCACATTTTCTTGATCTAATCAAGTCCAATTTCTTCTGACTGAATATCCATTTTCAATCAGAAATACATCATGTTACTGAATTAAAATAGCTTGTGGATGCAATTTCATGTTGACTTCAAGATTATCCCAAATGAAAAGAAGAGGTGAAACTGAGGTCTTAATAATTGATGGCTATAAATGGGGAGGATAGCATTTCTTCAGATCTATTTGGGATAGGCACCATCCAAGCAGGTGCAGATTGTGTCCAGATGGTAAAGGACCCGTTACGATAAGAGCATTGCTCCACATGAGGAGACATGGAGGTTTCTGTGACCTGATTAAACTTATAAGTGATATCTTGAGAAGCACAAAATCCAGCCATTTCTGCCGAGCACATGCATCATATCTCTTTAAAACCTTCAAATATGGTAATCCTGATCTCCTAGACCTTCATTTTTGGTATTTGACAAACAATTTTGCAAAGCTCAGTGAAAAACAGCAAATGGAGGAATGAATAAATGAATGAAAATGTCCAATTCAGCACAGCCCTGCATAATGTATGAGTGACTGCTTAGATCTTCCTCCTAAGTACTAGATCACGTGTGTCGGTGTATGCATGTGCGTATGAAATCTGCACTGCCTCAATTCTTTATGTCATACTGACCTACATATATTCCACTAACCCCATCATGATGCATGGAGAGCAGAGCAGCACCTCCTGGGGGGAACATCTAAGAAGGAGAGCTGACAGAAGCACAGCATCCCAGTGCTGACATCACTCTCTGCCACATATCGTACATATCAAACTGATGATATTTTACAAGGAATGTGTGAGATGCTGTCCACGGAAGTAAACAATGCTCAATAAAAAGCTTGGATTCAATGTAAAACCAATAAATATTAATTAGTGCTGTCAAACGATTAATCGCGATTAATCACATCCAAAATAAAAGTTTTTGTTTACATAACGTGTGTGTGTACTGTCTATGTATATTTAGGATATATTGTTTGTTTTGCAGAGTTATCTGATAGGATGGGAGGAGTTTCGTATGAACAAATGGCTGATTGGTTATATAGTAGTGATTACAGCATCAGTTATTGATTGGATGTTGAGTGTTAGCATGGCATGCAATGAGGTGAGTTCATGAAAACTGTATTACAGAGCTGCTTATTTATTGTGCCTCTTTACACTATAACATAACTATCACATAACAATATTTACACTATAAAAAATGGTGTGTAACGTTTTAACTGAGAAATTGTTAGTAAATTTCACAAATAATTCCAAAGAATCAGCAAGTAACACACTGAATTAAATGTGAAATTTTGAAGTAGAACAATTAAAATACTATTTTGTAAAACCTACTTTTATTTACAACTTTTTACAGTGTATATGTGGAATATTGAAGGTCATTTGATTGTCCAGTTTTATTTTAAAACAAGTGGATCACATTTTCTTGATCTAATCAAGTCCAATTTCTTCTGACTGAATATCCATTTTCAATCAGAAATACATCATGTTACTGAATTAAAATAGCTTGTGGATGCAATTTCATGTTGACTTCAAGATTATCCCAAATGAAAAGAAGAGGTGAAACTGAGGTCTTAATAATTGATGGCTATAAATGGGGAGGATAGCATTTCTTCAGATCTATGTGGGATAGGCACCATCCAAGCAGGTGCAGATTGTGTCCGGATGGTAAAGGACCCGTTACGATAAGAGCATTGCTCCACATGAGGAGACATGGAGGTTTCTGTGACCTGATGAAACTTATAAGTGATATCTTGAGAAGCACAAAATCCAGCCATTTCTGCCGAGCACATGCATCATATCTCTTTAAAACCTTCAAATATGGTAATCCTGATCTCCTAGACCTTCATTTTTGGTATTTGACAAACAATTTTGCAAAGCTCAGTGAAAAACAGCAAATGGAGGAATGAATAAATGAATGAAAATGTCCAATTCAGCACAGCCCTGCATAATGTATGAGTGACTGCTTAGATCTTCCTCCTAAGTACTAGATCACGTGTGTCGGTGTATGCATGTGCGTATGAAATCTGCACTGCCTCAATTCTTTATGTCATACTGACCTACATATATTCCACTAACCCCATCATGATGCATGGAGAGCAGAGCAGCACCTCCTGGGGGGAACATCTAAGAAGGAGAGCTGACAGAAGCACAGCATCCCAGTGCTGACATCACTCTCTGCCACATATCGTACATATCAAACTGATGATATTTTACAAGGAATGTGTGAGATGCTGTCCACGGAAGTAAACAATGCTCAATAAAAAGCTTGGATTCAATGTAAAACCAATAAATATTAATTAGTGCTGTCAAACGATTAATCGTGATTAATCACATCCAAAATAAAAGTTTTTGTTTACATAACGTGTGTGTGTACTGTCTATGTATATTTATTATGTATATATAAATACACATACATACAGTATAACACATATATATGTAAACAAAAACTTGTTTTGGATGCGATTAATTGCTTGACAGCACTAAAAAGTCAGTGTCTTTCATTTATTATTTTAATTTAATGCTAATAATAATAAAGCTGGTGAGAGTATTTTTTCTTTGCACACTGTGCTTATTGAATGCAATGAAAAGTAAATACTAAATTTCATGTTTCATTTGCAACTTTAAAAAAGCCATAAACTGTCAAAAGTTCAGATAAATT